CTTCTGAAAGGATAATGGTATATTTCTCTAGGGCTCCACTGTTGGGATGAGAGGGCAGCAACTGTTTCCCATCTTTTGGTTTCTCCAATGAAGATTCAGATTGCCTGGTTCATAGTAGGGGCTCAATACATATGAGGTCAGACAATTAAGTTCGTGAACTCATCCTAGAAAGAATGCTACACACCTCATTGCTGAATAGCACTACCGTCACCTTTGAAGTACTCCCCTGGGGAAGCTATGCACCAATGCCAGCACCTAGTCCATCCTTCAAAGCAATTTTGGAACTCTTTTTCTGGAGTGGCCATCAGAGCTATTGTCGTATTACCCTTGATGTCCTGAATATCACCAAAATGTCTTCCTTTCAATATTTCCTTTATCTTCAGGAAAAGAAAGAAGCCATTAGGGGCCAGATCAGGTGAGTAGGGAGGGTGCTCCAATACAGTTATTTGTTTACTGGCTAAAAACTCCCTCACAGTGCTGTGTGAGCTGGTGCATTGTCGTGATGCAAGAGCCACGAATTGGCAAAAGTTCAGGTCATCTAATTTTTTCACACAGCGTTTCAGCACTTCCAAATAGTAAACTTGGTTAAGCGTTTGTCCAGTTGGTACAAATTCATAATGAATAATCCCTCTGCTATCAAAAAAGGTTAGCAACATTATTGCAACCAGGTTGTGAACTTTATTATCAGGCCGCGTATAGATGCAATGAAGGAACAAATGGAACTTTCATGGAGAGAACATCTAATTTGCTGAGCCTGAGTCACATATATGCCTCTTGGGAGAAGGGGAAGGGAGGGGTTACCTTGGCCAAAATTCCCACTAGAGCCACACACAATAGAGTGGGGTGGTTCAGACATTGTTACCAAAGGAAGGGAGGATGGATGGGGGTCAGGCAGAACCCAAGAGGATGCCTGCTCTGGGCAGCAGAGAAATAGCTGGCAGGCTAGAGAAGGTGGTGTCTCTAGTCATGGCAGGGGAACATCTCCTGGTCCAGTTAGCTCGTCCTTTTCTACTAATGTCTGGAAGGAAAACTGCAGACAGAAACTCCCAGGCTTTGTTGTCAACCTTCAAGGCTGGGGTGAGACCCAGGAAGTAGACAGTTAGGCTGGGTCTAAAAGGTGAAGATGCTGAAAGGTTGACCATGTCCAGGTGGCGCCTGGGGAGGAGACAGTGGTGCTCAAATGAGGACAACATCAGGGTGACACGTTTGGTAGTTAGCTGCTCCTGTTCTTGGAGAAGCACACTTTCCAGAGCACATTTCCTCCACAACATCCTTTTTGTGCTTCTTAACAAAGTGCTTTTTAAAGTCTAAAGTTAAGGAAACCCTTTCAGGTGTTGCAAAGCTGGGCATTGCCCTATCAGGTGGCCCCGGGAATCTCTCTCCCTGGCCTACAGCCCCACGGACCCTCTTGCTGCTCTTTGAACAAATCAACCTCATTCCCCGCCCCTCAAGCCTTCCACACTTGCTGTATCATCTGTTTGCAATGCTTCTCCCTGGGTTTTCACAGGGCTGCCTCCGCATTCTCTGCAAGGGTCACCTCCCCTTTGCAAAGGTTACCTCCCCAATTCACAGTAGCTGCTTCCAGTCACTCTCTGCAACATTTATTTATTTCCTCCATAGCACTTACCATTCTCTAAAATAATCTTATCTGCTTAAATGTGTGTCTACTGAATGTCTCCCACACTAGAGTTAAATTCCATGGAAGGAGGGACAAGGCTTGTCTGTTTCACTTCTGTATCCCACAGAGTTGGACCAGCACCTGGCACCTTGTAGGTGCTCAATATTTATGTATTAAGTTATCCTTATATTCCTGGGATAAACCCAACTTGACTGTAGTGCACTGTCTGTATCCCATACTGGATTACACTTGTTTTGCTGCTAATTTATTTACGAGTTTTATGTATATAGTCATCAGTGACAAGGACCTATTTCTCTGAAAACAGTCTCTAGTTATCCATCTAGTTATTATGAGTTGAGGAAGTATTTGCTTGTGTTCTATTCTCTGGAAGAGTTTGTATAAGACAGAAATTATCTAGTCCTCGAAAGTCTGGTAGAACCCTCCTTTAAAGCCTTCTGGGCCTGTTGTTTTTCTTATGGGAAGATTTTAAATGACTGCTTCATTTCCTTAATCATCAAAAAACTATTCAGGCTATTTCTTTCTTTGACAGTTAAGTTTTTCCTCCCCTTGGAACTTGACCATTTCATTTACATTTTTAAATAAAATTAAGTAAAGTGGTTACCTTTGGAGTTTTTGTGCTCCGTAATGGGTTCATGAGTATTCATTATATTACTTAAAATCATATAAAATGGTCACCTTTGGACTAATGATGACAGTGTGCTTTAAATCAAGGATTATGATTAATCCAATTCCGTGTACTCAAGTTCCATTGAAAACGCACATTTGCTGAGCATATGAGTGACTGGAATCTATTTTGGTGGCCAGGAGCACACACTCCCCAAAGGTGACCCTGGCAGACCCTCAGTGACACGGACAAGCCTGGGTGGGATGTGTCCAGGAAACCCAGCCTTCTATCTGTTCCCAATTCAGACTATGGAGGAAGGTGCTGGAAGATCTCTCGGCTGTATTCCACAGGCTGGGTTCTGGGCCTAGAGCATCCCAGAATGTTAGGCCCCTTATTTGTCCAGGATTAGGTAAAAGTCACAGCAATTTCCTTTCCTTATCACCATAGCAGAGAAGAGAGAGACTGAAGTAGAATCCTGGAAAACTGCTGAAATTAAGGACAGCCCTGTGGCATGACTGGCTCCTCTGCCAATGAAATTATTATGTGACTTATGTCTGGGTCATTACTGTGCTAAAAGGATAAGTGGGTTAAAATGAAAGAGGTCTCTGAACAAATGCAGGAGGCATTACCAAGTCTTTGGACATCATTGGTTGCAACAAAATTTGGAATTAACCATGACATGGTGCAAAATGGTGAAATATTTGCAAGCAAGGAGAGGGTGGAGATGCAGGAAACTGTAAATTTATGCCAGCTGAGCACTTATTGTGGGGGCGTCTGGCAAATGGATTTACTATTTTGCTAACTAAAGTGTTACAAAATTGCCACAAAATTGTTTCTATGAAAAAAATTGTTTAAAAAAGGTACTTACATCAAATAACTGCCATTCACGAGCTTTCTGAGTAACCACAAAGCCAGAGATTAACTAAAAAGTGTTAGAAATTATTTTTCTTGGAATTATGCTGAATACTCAGATCGAGATTTTTCTTTCCTCCCCAACTACCTCTCTCTTCCATCAGTCTTTTAATGTGCCAATTTAACTTTAGTTTTTGTGGAGAAAGGGTTAAGGGAAGAAGGAACAGGGACATTTGAGACAGCACGTGAAGGGAGGTAGGTGGGTATAGAAATGAAGATATGGGAGTTATTTCAATTAAACACTATCACCTTTATCTGTAAACAGGGCTTATAAACGTCTGTCTGTCCTGACCTGCTCCCAGAGATAATGTTATGTAAAATTTGAGCGCTACTCTCCCTCTATTTGCATAAAATCTGTCCCAGAAACGATTCATCCTTACACGTTATCAGAACCACAGGGGGGAAAATTATATGAACTCTACTCGTGGCATTATGTTTTTTTCTGGAAAAAGGGGTTAAGTAAAGTTCTTTACACATTTTTTCTACCCTGAAAACCCACATGAGGTAAGTCACTTTCCAGAGTCCTAGAATTTAGAAGATTCTGTAAGACTCACTGAAGAATAACGGCGGAAACAGCATTGTAATTTCAGAAGGATCCTCTGGCTGAGAGAGGCTGCCCAAAACAGTACAAAATAAATTTGCATTATATTTGTCAAACTTCCAAAAACCCCTTGGGGACAGGAGGCAAACCAAACGCTCCAGATCACGGGTATTTACCGGGCGTCAGGGCTCGTCGCGATTCAGCCGAGGCCTCAGCTGGGGTTTAATCACCTGGGCATCTAACACCCGATCACCTTCAGTTCCTGAAGGCTATTACAATTGTCCCCATTTTACGGATGAAATTGAGGTTATGGCTTAGTCTTCTCTGGCTCACTTAATCGAGAGTGAGAGGGAGAGCGGAGAGGGGGAGAGAGAAAGAAGCTTTTCCTCATTATCTTTAAATAAAGTATTTAAACCAACTCAAAAATGACCTTCTACTTGCAACAACGGTGTTTCCTTTAGGGTCGAATCGTTTGAGCTCATCTCTAAAACCAAGAAGACAAGAATTTTACTGTAAATTAGAACAAAGAGTCACTCCCCATCCCCCCCATTCTCCTCGGACATCAGTCACAGCGGACGCAACATTCCGAGTCGCGATGGGGAGAGCATCTGCCGGGGGCGTAATAAGCTCCAAGCTGCCCTAGCCGTAGGTGGAGTAAAGCCGGGAAAAGACACCGGCCGGCACAGCCCTCACGAAAACTGAAGCGTCTTCTTTGACCCCGGGGTCAGAAAGATTTATTACTTCCTCGGTGTGGGAGAAAGCCCAGGCCAACTGGAACGGGTGAGCCGAGAGTAGAAAGCCTGCGAGTGGCGCCCAGCGCCTTCGGAGCGCTCCGGGGCGTCCTCGGTTCCCGGAGGAGCCAGGCTGTGCCGATCCCCGGGGAAGAGCGGAGCGGGCGGCCGCTGGAGGATTTCTGCCCAAACTTTATCGCCAACTCTTTCCTAGAACAAAATCTGCGGCTGAGTCCGGTAACCACACGCAGAATCCAAGTTTCCCAGACCTCCGGGTGCCCAAGCGCTCCGAACCCCGCTTGCAAGCCCCGCCGTTTTGCGCACGGATTGCTACCCCTTCCGCTGCGCGAATGGCGGCCCAAGTAGCGCCGCTGTAAATCCAGCCCCGCATCTCCAGCCCCTAAGGCGGCGGCCGCGGCCGCGGCGGCGGGAGCGGGCGTTGCGAGGGGGGCGGGCGCGGGACGCGCGGAGGAGGAGGGCAGCGCGGCAAAGGGGAGGAGCCGCAGCGACAGACGGCGACGCGCACCAACCCGGCGTCGCCTGGCAAGAGCCGCGCAGAGGCCGGCCCGAGCGCGTTGCAGCGCCTCGGCGTAGGGAGAGTCGGGTAGCAGCATCTTCCCGGGCGCCGCTTTCGCGCGGCGGCGGGGGCTTCCTCTGCCCCGATTCCTCCTTGGCCAGAAGCGGCTGGTGTCGGGGGCGAGGCGGGCAAAGGAGCGCTGCCGGACCCCGGTTCCTTTGCCGAGAGCTGTGTGTATAGGATCCTTCCGGACCAGTCCGAGGCTGCGGAGCGTCGGGGACTGCCGGCAATGCCCGCCGGGGCATCCTCTGGGTGATGGAAGAAGCAGCTGCCGCCGCCGCCGCCGCCGCCGCTGCTGCTGCAGGGTCGCGCTGCGCCCCATTCACCGCCACCAGAGAGATGGGAAGATTCGTAGCGCGGAGGCCGAGAGCGAGAGAGGCGGAGCCGCTTTGCCTGGAGCTGGGTCCCGTATAAGCCCCCTCCCCCCTCCAACCTCCCCCAGCGGGCTTCGCCCCCCGGAGCGAGGGAGGAAGCTGCGATCCCGAGAAGGCGCAGGAGACGCTGCTAGAGCCGGGCGCGCTGGGCTCAGCAGAACGCGGAGCAGAGCTCCGGGCCCAGTGAAAGTTTCCCTTCCCGAGCCGCAGGGCGTCCGCTGCCCGGAAACTGCTCAGGGCTTGGGCTGCAGAGTCCCGCGGCCTCCTCGAAGGCACGGGGACCCCCAGCAGAAGACAGCGCGCGAGAAATCGGGGAAGGAGTAACAGCAGGACAGACCGCTGGGCTGCGATCCGGGACCGATCCGGGTCGCGCCGGCGGCTCCAGGTGAGCTGGGGAGCCAGGCAGACCCGAGGGTGGGCGTTACTTAGGCGGAGGAGGCGGCTGGGAGCAGGAATGGAGTGCATCGGCTTACTCCGCTTACCCTCGCAGGTCCTTCTCCGAGCCGCTGCCATGGGAGAGCCAGCTCTGGGCGCCGGGGACCAGCCGCCGCTGCTGCCACGCCCGCCTCGGAGCCGCGGACCCAGTCCCCGCGCCCGAAGCCGGCCCGCTGCGTCCCACTCCCGGGCTGCAGGGCCGCCTCCACCGCGCCGCCGGCCGGGGCTGTGCCTGTGATGAGCCGCAGCCCGCTGCGAGCCCTGCCCCCGGGCGCGCCCCCCGGGTTGCTCCCGGCCGCGCCTGCAGCCGCGGCGCGCGCCCTGCTCCCGCCGTGGCCCCGGCGGCCGGGCCGCCGCTGGCCCGCGTCCCCGCTCGGAATGAAGGTGTTCCGCAGGAAGGCGCTGGTGCTGTGCGCGGGCTATGCGCTGCTGCTTGTGCTCACCATGCTCAACCTCCTGGACTACAAGTGGCACAAGGAGCCGCTACAGCAGTGTAGTCCCGACGGGCCGTTAGGTGCCGCGGCGGGGGCGGCTGGCGGCGGCTGGGGGCACCCGGGCCCTCCTCCAGCCGTGTCGCGCCATGCACACACCCGCTTGGATCCCCGAACCCTGTACCGTCCTCTCGTCGCCGCCGTCGGGGCGGCTCCTGCAGCCGCGGCGGGGGCCGCTGCCCCTTCCGGCAATAGCACCCGAGGCACCGGGGGCAGCGAAGACAAGCGGCAGTTGGTGTACGTGTTCACCACCTGGCGCTCAGGCTCGTCCTTCTTCGGCGAGCTTTTCAACCAGAACCCCGAGGTGTTCTTCCTCTACGAGCCAGTGTGGCACGTGTGGCAAAAACTGTACCCAGGGGATGCCGTTTCCCTACAAGGGGCAGCCAGGGACATGCTGAGCGCTCTCTATCGCTGCGACCTCTCGGTCTTCCAGCTGTACAGCCCCGCTGGCAGCGGGGGGCGCAACCTCACCACGCTGGGCATTTTCGGTGCGGCCACCAATAAGGTGGTGTGTTCTTCGCCGCTCTGCCCTGCGTATCGGAAGGAGGTCGTGGGGTTGGTGGACGATCGCGTGTGTAAGAAGTGCCCACCTCAGCGCCTGGCGCGCTTCGAGGAGGAGTGCCGCAAGTACCGCACGCTAGTCATCAAGGGTGTGCGTGTCTTCGATGTGGCCGTGCTGGCGCCGCTGCTGCGCGACCCTGCCCTGGACCTCAAGGTCATCCACTTGGTGCGCGATCCCCGAGCTGTGGCCAGCTCACGCATCCGCTCGCGCCACGGTCTCATCCGTGAGAGCCTGCAGGTGGTCCGGAGCCGGGACCCGCGAGCCCATCGCATGCCCTTTCTGGAGGCCGCCGGCCACAAGCTTGGCGCCAAGAAGGAGGGTGTGGGTGGCCCGGCAGACTACCACGCGCTTGGCGCTATGGAGGTCATCTGCAACAGCATGGCGAAGACCCTGCAGACGGCCCTGCAGCCCCCCGACTGGCTGCAAGGCCACTACCTGGTGGTGCGGTACGAGGACCTGGTGGGAGACCCTGTGAAGACCCTACGGAGGGTGTATGACTTTGTGGGACTCCTGGTGAGCCCTGAAATGGAGCAGTTTGCCCTGAACATGACCAGCGGTTCCGGCTCTTCCTCTAAGCCTTTCGTGGTGTCTGCACGCAACGCCACGCAGGCCGCCAATGCCTGGCGGACCGCCCTCACCTTCCAGCAGATCAAACAGGTGGAGGAGTTTTGCTACCAGCCCATGGCTGTGTTGGGCTACGAGCGCGTCAATAGCCCCGAGGAGGTGAAAGACCTCAGCAAGACCCTGCTCCGCAAGCCACGGCTCTGAGAGGGCTTCCCAAGAGACGTGACTCGGTGTGGGAGACACCCATTACCAGATTGTGGTGTGTTTAAACAAAAACAGTTCTGACCCAAACTGAGGAAGCTCACATATTCTGTTATAGATCTATAATATAAGTAACCACAGAGGCACTTGCTGTCAGTGTTCTGAGTCATTGCATTCCAAGGGACAGTCACAATACACACACATTTCAGAAACGGCAAGACTTGAATGTTCTGACCAGCTACCCTCCTGCCCCCTCCCCTGCCTTTTCTCTCTCCCCCTTTCTTCCATGTCTTACCTTCTCCATTACCTGTCCTCCATTTTGAAGTGGGATGTTGATTAGATCAAGATCCGGTAACTCAAATCTTGTTTACAAAATTTTTGTGTTATCTGTGAAAATGTAAAAGAGTAATTTGGATGTGGGGGTTGGAATAGAGAAAGGGGAAGTGGTCCCGGAGCAAAAAGCCCCGTTGGGCATGATAAACCAAGGAGGCATCCTTTTAAAGTAGACTTTTCTGTAAAAAACAAAGGTTCTATGTGAGTATTAATAAAGAAGATAATAAATAATATTCTTTTATATTTGCCTCCATTACTTTGGATTTACCTGTGTTAATCTGTGTAGCTTCAGACAGAATCTGCTTCCCCTCCCCAAACCCCCTTTCCAGTCTGTTTCCTAGAGCACAGCTAAGATGGGTGGGATAAGAACCTGGGAGTTGTTTCCTCACATGTAAATCACAGCCTGTCAGGTGCCCAGGCATGGAAACAAATATTCAAATTCTAAAGGCAGAAGCAGTCTGGACAGTGGAGGAGAAAGCACACACCCCTTTCCCGTTTGCCTGGAGCACAGAGGAAGAGGCAAACCCTTGAGAATCTGAAGGCATTCGGTTTTGATTACTGAGTTAAGACTGGGGAACCTTGTCTTAGCAGTCAGCAATGTTTTCGTCCTGAGGTTGGTTCAGAAAAAGGATTTTTTAAAAAGAAAAATATGTAATTTAAAAATACTTCTGATGATTAGAACATAAACCTCAATTAGTATGAAGGTATTGTTGGCGATGGTTGCAACTTCTTTGGTTAGAAAAGTGACAGAAGTGTATGTGTCTGGAGTGTTTTCCTGCTTCTGACAGTATATGGAAACATGAAAAGGGAAGTTTTATCTGACAATTTAAGGACACTCGCAGGCTTTTCTGTTCCTCACTTCCCATGCAAATTAGTGCAAAAGAGAATGTGAATTTATACTGATTTGTTTGTGATGCCCATGGGGTACATTGCTTTTCTTCATCATATTTCCTAAAAGTAAAGTTGCAAAGAACCTGTAACATGTTGTGGACAGTGTACGGCTTTAGCCAAGAGCTTTTAGATATGAAAATGAATTATGGGGAAGAGGAAACGAAAATGAATTATGAGCTAGTGTGTTGGATTTTGAGATTTGGTGTTTTCCAGGGAGGAACCCGTTGTAATTTTCCTGCAGTGGTACTGGTGTTGCTGCTGTCCTGAGCCCATTTGTATGGGGACATTCTGCAGGATGTCACATTACAATAAGAAGTTATGGAGCCTAGACAGGAACGAGACAGTGTAGTTACATAGTACATTGAAGAGGATATAAGTTCAATATCATAATGACTATTATAGTACATTGTGAGCTCTCTTCAGGCCCATCTGTATAGGTTAAGTGCTGAAGATTTTCTTTTAAGTATAGCATGATAAAAAAATATGTACATGGGAAATATTTTAAGATGATTCTGAGTATAATTTTCATTACCATGTGAAACCTAACTACACTTAAGAATTCCAAGATAAAGAAGCACAGGGATTTAAAAAAAAGATGTGTTTATCACAAGATTTTGTAACACATTCTAGAATGGTTTATTTTTAATTTACTAAAATAGTTTATAGTATTGTGTGTATTAAGCCAGGTGACAACTATAACGTATCGATCCTGTTTTCTATGATTTTTTTTTGTGGTAGCCCCTATACTTATTATCTTCAGTAGAATAATTGTAATAGCTTTAATTTAAGAATACTTTAAAAGTAGATGAACAAAATAAATATTAATGTTGGATGACTATAGATGAAACAGGTTTAAGAGGAAATTAAGACAGCATCATTAGGAAGCAATCACTCTGAATAAAATAACCATTTAAAAACAAATTTCATATGGTATTAGACTCAGCTCTTGCCACTTAATCAAGTAAAATTCATGCGTAGTTTCTGAGTGAAGGGTTTTTAAGTAGTTGAATGCATTCTTCTCAGTATATTGAAGGACTTTGATTGCGTTAAAATGGAATCACAATGTTTTGGGACCTTGTATTTAGAAATACATTAGATGCTGCATTCAGCCCTTGCATCCTGCAGAGGGTCTATGGCCTCTGCTCAGGTAAAATTTTAAGCTCAACACCGACGGTTCTCCCGGGCTGTGTTCGAATGGGGCTTTTGCCTGTGATTCCCTTGTTTTGTAGCAGCTGCATTCTCTCTGTTCTGCCACTCCTGGGCTCTGTAATTTGAAAAGGTGAATTGTGCGTGGTTGCCTTCTAGGAAAGCGAGCCAGGCATAGTTCCCACTAATGGCCGAGATAGGCATATCACTGACATTCAGCTTCCACAAGCTCGAGAATGAGAGAAGTATTTTTTTGGCATTAATAAACGTCTGTCAGCCCCTGGTGCAAGCAGACCTGTGCCACAACAGATTGCAACAGAGCCTGTGACCATTTCTGAGACAGCAAAATGTGAAAGAGATCCTTTCACATTTCCCAGCTTGGCAATATATCCATCAGCAAGAGGAAATATTCTCCAGAGCAGGTCATCAGAGAGATTTTTATTTTCAAACTGCTCAACTGATAGCGCGCTTAACCTACCCCTTTGACTTTGGAATGCCTTTGTTAATTAGAAATCTCTATTTATAAAACGAAGCCTACCCATTGCATTTAGTAAAAAACTACGCGTTTGGAACAAGACGACATGGGTGAGGTGCTTCAGTTTCAGGGAGCGAGCTCCGAGGCGCTCAAAAGCCCCATTCAGACTGACCCCCGGGGACCTGGCAGGCAGGGACAGGCAAATCCGGTACCCTTCAGTGTCTGCCACATAGCGAGGATCTGGTAAATATTTACAAAATAAGTGCCAGACGTAACTGGGATTTTGAAAGTGCTCAGAAGGGAAAGAGGAAGAATGTGGTGCCTCTTTGGAGACAGTGCCAGACATTCAGCAAAGCCTGCTGAAGGAAGTGGGCCTCAGGCTTTCTTTAGATGTGAGGAGTGGGCGACAGAAACATCTCCAGGGTTTCCAGGGTGAGAGTGCCTAGACCACTATTTCCCACTGATGAATTAGAGACAAAAATTCAGAATTTCTGACTGTGGAGGGGGAAACATTTCCAGGTGAGAAATTTGATTTTTATTATTTGATTTTCTTGTTGCATTAACAAGATACAGGCAGGGATCAGAACTTACCTGCAAAATGGTGCTCAGGTGCTGAGGGTGGGCAGGCCAGAAAGTCATTGCTTATTGCAGGAACCATGTGATACTTAGTTACAGTTTTGAGCCAGTGTGTTCCCCCCAGGCACAGGAATGGTTACTCTGAGGAGTCAGTGCTATTTTGGGTGCTGAATGAGACAACACTGCCTGTTCCCACGCAATCCCGCCCAGCCATGGCCAGTTCTTCCCAGGATTTCTGTTTCACATACAGTTGTGGCTGGATTATGCTGTTGGTGTGACGTTAATTTGATTCTGAGCGAGGCCATTACATTAATATTCCCTGGATCTGCGCAATGAAAGCTAATGTTTGAAACCCAGCCTCTAGAGATGACTTCAGGAAGACCATGAGAACAATAAAAAGGCATGTGTTTATAGTCGTGGCTGAGGAAGCAGTGTCACTTTACCACTTCCCCCAACTTTCTTCCCTCCCTACACACAACACACACACACACCTGCACATGTGACTACAATTGAGTTTCTGCATTGTTTTGAGGTTTGGAAAAGAGAATGTGTTAATGCAGCTGATGGGTATGTGGCAAGCAACACTTTTGATCTCAGGCCTCCGGAGAGCGAGGGGCCAATTATTCTTTCAGAACCTGTGACAGTTCTGTGTCAGGTAGAAAATGGCAGAGCAATGTGAGGAAGGGCTGAAGGTGTGTGATGGGATGCCTCAAGGTAAATGCACAGTTCACAGACCCCCTTTGTCACCTTGAGGAGTGACATGGTGGCTGGGAACACAGTTTCTTCATATAGTTTCTCTCTTGTCTGGGGACTCCAGCTGCTGCTTTGTGGGTCAGGTATGAGCCCCTGAGCTGCTCGGGCACAACTGTTTAATAATTGAAATTACAGGGCTTGACTTTTATTACCTCTGATGCAGTTCTGCACACCCTTAATCTATAATGCTAAGGAAATTGTTAAATTGTGAATAACACAGCAAGTTTGCAGAGCAGGAAACATTATGAACCAGTGTTTGGGGGTGGTGTAATTTATAAACTTGAAGAAGACTGGAAGGGGCAGGAGCCTGCCTGGACGCTTGTCAGGAAGATCAAGGGTGGCCAACGCCAGAGCTTAACTTTTGGTTGAACCAGTTGTTTGTAAACAGATGTCAAAAGTGTTTTTGGACTGCTTGAACTTTCAGGTTTGTGACAGTCACTCTGCGAAGTGAATGATAGTGAAAATGATCCCTGTAACAAAAAGCTACTCAGAACATTCAGTAATGGCTTCCATCCCAGGTATAGAGACAGGTGGTAAACATTCACCTTAAAGCGATTAACTCTCTTGACAGGATCATCTACCTAAGTTGTGGGGCTCAGCGCAAAATGAAAATGTAGAACATTTTGTTAAAAAAATCATCAAGCATTTCAATTCGGCAACAGCAGAGATTAACTCAAGCAGAGGGCCCTTCTGAGCGTGCGACCCACACACTGCACAGGCTGTACCCGGTGAAGACAGCCCTGCATCCCAATGCAGAGACTGAAATGCCTAACTATAGGAGAGAGTAAATACGGTGGCCACACTCCTGGAGAATTGGTGCGAAGGTATGAGTGACTGTGTGTGACTGTAAGGAAAGCAGACACCCTGGTGGGATAGGTCCATGTTGCGTGATGGAATTCTAAGGATGTAAGGACAAATGTGACTCTTGCTGATTGCTGCAAGTGACTGACTATATCCTGAGTCGTTGGTTGGTCTTGATCCTGTTCAGGACAGAGACAGCTTGTGCTGTCCTGGGGATCCTTCTCCTAAGAACAGCTCAGACATCTTCCACCAGGATGTAGAGCGTGATCTTGTCCTCAGCCTGTAGTTGCTGGCAGTTTCCCTAACCATAATATTCCCTCCCTTCTGGAACTACCGTGGGACTCTATTTGCTTTGTATGTAATACAGAGAGAACATCTATATATTGAAAAGCAACAGGTCAAGTCACAATTAACTCAAGGAAGAAAGAGGCAGCATGTGCTAAGCCAACTGGCATGCCTCCTCCTCATGCTAAGTGGAGTCGGCTAAGTTTATTGTTATTATAGGTGTGATAAGCTCCATTTCCCCCTGGCTAACAGTTCTCCACCCTCGCTACCCCTCTCCTGCCTCCCATTTCTTCTCTACTTTGTGAATTCCTACTCAGTTTTGAAGATCC